ACACACAGGAACTCACACATCGGGGTTTGCTGGCACCCTGAACTTTTCCAAGATCTCATCCATGCCGGAATTCACGCTCCTGTTCTTCACTCCCTCCTGGTACACGTAGAAACCTTTCCCTGCCTTGCGACCTGCAGGGATCAAAGCACAGAGTCAGCTCCTGCCACCCTGGATCCTGTTTTGGGCCTGCTGTTCCTGCTGCCAGCACTCTGCACCTCAGAGCACAGATCTGCTGCCTCAGCAGGGGCACAGGGAAGGCACCCAGCTCCACCTTGGCAAGATGCTGCCACTCTGCCAGGCCCTTTCTCTATGTTCAAAGAACCAACGGCACCACTAACTCTGGAAGGGATTCCTGCCCCATTCCCCCACTGCTGCTGCTGGGGGCAGGGGAGGTGGATGATGCTGGTGCTTTCACTGGGGACACCCTTTAGCTGAGAACACCTCAGCAGCTCACCTAAGAAGCCTTTCTGCACCATGAGCTTGAAGAGGTCGATGCTGCCTCCTCCGAAACGAGGGCCAAAGGCCTTGCCCAGGTCCTCGGCCACATGCGTGGCCACATCCACGCCCACCTCGTCAATCAGCGTGGCCGCTCCCACCGGGAAGCCGAAGGCCGTGGAGATGGCATCCACCTTCTTTGGGTCAACGCCCTCCTGCAGGATAGGGGGGGAAGCCGTGGGATCTCGGGATGAGGTGGGGCAGAGAGCCCAGCCCCATTAACTGGCTGCAAACAGGGGCCAAAAGCAGGCTGGGGACAGCCACAAGAGGCAGGGCTGGTGAACCACATCCTCTTCTGACCCCACCCCAGCCCTCTGGCCAACGCAGAAGCAATTTCCATGGCCGCTCGGGGGATGCTCACCTGGAGAACTCGGACCACCTCGGACAGCATCGGCCCCAGGCACCTGGTGGTGTAGAATCCAGGCCCATCCTGGGGAAAAGCAGTGCAGCAGCTGAGTCCTTGGCATCCCCAGAACTGTGTTCACAGCCCAGGCTGCAGTTCAGACACCCCAAACCCCATCTCCTACACTGTGCTACTGACTGCTAGAACAGGTTTGTGTGGGAATCCAGAGCTTCCCTCTGGCTGCCCTGGCAGGTCTGGGACCCTGGCAGGGGTCAGGAACCCCCCTGGACAGAGCCCCCAGAGACACTGTCTGGGATCTCTGTCCATGGAAAAGTTTTCAATCTTACAGGATGAATTACCAGCTCTGAGGGTTTGATATAATAATTAAGTGTGGCACGGGTGCAAAAGTAAAATTTTAGGATTCTAGATGAGGGGTCCAAAGGGGACAAGATGGAGGAAATGGGTGTGCCTTGTCCTTTTTCTCCTTCTTCATGCCCTCCATGTCTCACTGTGGTGTTGGCATTTTTCTGTTGGTTCAGGCTGGGGACACACTGTCCAACGTAGGTGACAGATATTGGCACGTTCTTGTAAATCCAGCCCAGGGAGTTTCTGGTATTGAATGTTTGTAACATCCCACTGAGGGCAGAGCCCCACACGCTGCCCTGCAGGACAGAGCTGGGCAGGGCAGCAGAACATGTGAGAGATAAACAGAATAAACAACCTGGAAACCAGCACAGACCAATTATGGCTTCTTTGGCAACAGGGCTGACAGAGACTTTCTACAATCCTGGAACCATCAATACCACAGATTCTGACAGGTTTGGGACTTTTTTCCCCCCCTGTAGAGCTCAGCAGTGTTTGCAGGCTTCCAGGAACTCGCTCCCTGGAAGTTCCTATCCCAGTGTTTTTATTTGAACTAGTGCCTGCAGGTCCAGAACAGGCTGGTGAGGGAAAGGGTGCTCAGCACAAGGGAAACCAGCATGAGCCAGTTGTTCCAGCTCTGCTGCTCCCCACCAAGTCAGAATAAGCTGCAAACTGCCCTTCAGGGAGGCAGCTGAGGTGGGGATGAGGCTCAGGGAAGCAGCACTGTGTCCCCACTGGTGTTTGGAGATGCCCAGAGCACTTTCTGACAAGCCAGTTTTCCCAGCACTACAGGAGAGACGTGCTCAGCATTCTGGCAACCTCAGGAATCAGGAAAAAGACTGGGACACCTTCCTCTGTCCCAGCTTGCTCCAAGCCCTGTCCAACTTGGCCTTGGCCAATTCCAGGAATGGGGCAGTCATGGATCCTCTAGGCAACCTGTGCCAGGGCCTCCCCACCATCACAGGGAAGAATTTCTCCCTAATATCCAATCTAAATCCATTTTCCCATGCATTCTTGCCCCTCTCCCTCAAGATTTAAGCCGGGCAGAGGAGGGTTGCTGCTCACTGACCCTCTGCTCTTGCAGGCTGCCAGGGAGCTGAGGTGCTGACAGTCCTGTGCAGGCTGCTCTGTCTGGGATGCCCTGGAAGCTGTGTGGGGCACGAGTGCCAGCTCCTCGTGCTGCCCCTGCACGTGTGCCTGGTGGCTTTCCATGCCTGCTCTGAGGGACATGTGAGGATCACCTGGGCACTTGCCCCTTTCTGACCTCCCTTTTCACTTCTCAGAGGAGCAGCCAACATGTCCACAGACATGCTTCACCCTCCCCTCAGTACACAAACCCTTTTATTTATTACCCAGCAATGTGTAGCATCCCCTCACCTTCACCACGATGACCACTTTGCCCTGTTTGAGGCCAACAGCAACAGCAGAGGCAGCCGTGTCCTGGGAGGTTTTGTCTGTGGTGATGATTTCCAGCAGCTGCATCTTGTCAACAGGGGAGAAGTAGTGCATCCCAATCACCTGGCAGACAGAAGAGCTGGGTTCAGATGGGTTCTGGCCCCCAGAGGAATCAGCTGGGCAAGCTGAGTGCAGGGGGAAGGCCCTGAGCACACTCTGTGTCCCTCTGTGACAGGAGTGCTCTCCAATTCCCTTCTCTCCTTGGCTTTCCCAAAGACACAGCATAGCCCAGGAGCTCATTCAAGATTAAGGTACAATTTTTACGGGACTTTATAGTCTGGCAGCCAAATCTGCCTGGGATTCCCTGAGCTCACCCCCAGGGAAATGGTGTGAGCTGGCAGGGCAGCCCCAGCCAGCTGCTGTGCCCGCTGGGCTCAGACTGGAGCAGCACTCGGGGAGTCCCTGCGTGCTGCCTGTGAATGTCTGTGGTGAGGAAGTGAATTTAAGGATGAGAAGGCTTCTCTCCAGGAGCTCATTACAGAGGGAAGTGCAGCTTCCCCCGGGAACGGCGTTTAAGTGCAGATTATCTGGCTGTGTGAATGTGACCATGCCATCAGCGTGTCACCTTCGTGCCTCCTGGCAGCCACGCTTGGCACCAAGCCCTGTGTAAGTCAGAGGCACCTTGCTGAGTTGCAGGCTGCAAAACTAATTAAAGAAAATGTGCTAATTAGTTAAGTGACTTCCTATGAGTTTCCTCCTAAGAGCCATTGCACGGGCAATTTGAACAGCAAGAGGATGTTATTTGCAAAGATGAACAAATGAGGCTCGGTTGGCAATTTGGATACAAGAGAGGTCCTGCAGCAAATGAGGAAGAGGCTCAGCAGGGTGACAGGAACCTCCAGCAGGTCACCTCACACTCACAGGCAGCACAGGTACCCCTGGCAGGGCAGTCCCCTGCTGCCTCAGGGCTGTAGGAATCAGATGGACTGAGGCTGGAAAAGCCCTGCAAGATCATCAAGTCCAAGCTGTGCCCAATCCCCACCTTGTCACCAGCCCAGAGTGCCACATCCAGGAATTCTCTGGACACCTCCAGGGATGGGCACTCCAACCCTCCCTGAGCAGCCCCTTCTAATGCCTGACTACTCTTTCTGTTCTTCAGGAGGAAGAAATTCCTCCTGATATCCAAGCTGAACCTGCCCTGGAACAGCTTGAGGCTATTTCTCCTCATCCTGGCCCTGTTCCCTGGGAGCAGAGCCCAAGCCCCACTCAGCTCCAACCTTCCACAGCTTCTCTGCCTCCAACACTTTTTGATGTGTGCTGACCTGCCCCACCAACATCACCCTTGGGGTGAATCCACCTTCTCCTCCTTCCCACTGGAATCTGGAACCCCCAGATCGTGAGCTCTTTGCTCAAAGCCTGCACTGGGAGCAGAGGATGGGCTGTGCCATGTCCTGAGGAGGGGGCAGAAGGTCTCTAGAGCAGAGCCACCTCATCATGGACAGCTCTGTGCAGGGCACGTGGCCCTGGGGACTCACCTTCTCGGGCCTCTTGCTGACAGCAGCAATCTGGCTGATGGGGAGGGCAGAGGTGTTACTGGCGAAGATACAGTGGGCAGGGATCACCTGGGGGGACAAGAGACACAGGACAGTGAGCAGGGATCACCTGGGGGGACAAGGGACATGAGACAGTGAGCAGGGATCACCTGGGGGGACAAGGGACA